ATCAGTAAGATTTACTTGGCCTTATAGTCACTGACACACACCCCCGTCAGCCCCCACACACTTGCATTTCATTTGCAATTCAAAGAGTTTTATTGCTCATCGATAATAGGGAGTAAAGAAAAAGGAATAATTATGCTGTCAACCTGAAAAATAACAACAGTGAAATGGTGAGTCCTGGGGAGCGGGGATGATAGGAAGGGCCTGATGGAAGATGCCAGTGTGGAAATTTGTAAAGTGCCGTTATCTTGGCCGAGTTTATATAAAAAGCAAGGGGGTAGGAGGCGTTTACAATTTAAACTTTCAGTTTGCTTTGCTAGAAGGCACAAGGGATTTGTAACATTTTCACACTTGAGTGGAAATTAAGTCAAACACATCATCCGCCCCCAAGGTAGCCGTAAAAGTGGCCCCTGAACAGTAAGTGTACCTTGGTCGACAGCAGCTTTGTCAGGTACATTTCTTTTACTTTGAACTTGTGCTTCCCTCGATGTCTCTTTCCTTGCACATCCTGGAACGCCTCTGAATCTGGTAAGATCTGAAGGGAAGGAAGACAGAGCCCACGGGTTACCCACGGAGACAGGCCCTGCCTCGGAAAGTGCTCGCCGGGTCTCGGGAAAGCCTGAACTCACCAAGTGGCAGTGGTCGTCTGAGTATTCCACCTCTGAACGGCCGGAAAGATGAGGGGAGAGAGAGCAGTCCGTTAAAAACACGACCATGGGCTAATTGCCCATCTCATAAAACGCCCAATTGTGCTATAAACCGAAGAGGTTAGGCGAGCTCTTCATAGCTGCATTGTTTTAGCCCCTGTTGCATCTGAAGGAGCCCTGGTACCGTAGTGCTTAACTCCTTGGGCTGCCGACTGCAAGGTCAGCAGTTTGAAACCAGCAGTCCCTCTGAGGGGAAAGAGATCAGGGATTCTGCAGTCCCAGACACGCTCCGGGGGGCTTCGACTCTGTTCTAGGATTACTTTGAGTCGGATTCCTGGATGGCAATGGGTTTGGTTTTTGGTTGCATCTGATCTTCTTAAGAACCGTGTAGTATGGGCCAGAGGCTTACAGATCCTTACAGATACTTCTGTACCTGGTGGGGCTGTGGACTAGGCATTGGGGTGTTAACCTCAAGGACAGCAGTTCAAGACCACCAGCAATCTTAGGAAGACAGCTGGGGCTGTCTGTGCCCGGATAGATTTAGCCTTGAAAACCACATAACGGGTCGCTCTCTAGGAGTTGGGATCATCTCAGTGGCAGTGGGTTTGTGTTGTTGTTGGAGCTACCAAGCATATCGCAATGAAATGAAAAGATCAAGTTCTTGCTCCGGGGGTCCTGGTCACAGAGTGGTTATGGGTTGGGCCGCTAACTGCAAGGTCAGTAGATCAAAACCATCAGTCTCTGAAACCTATCATGGGAGTGATGCAGGAGAAAGATGGGGATTTCTAGTTCTATAAGGAGTTACAGTGTTGGAAACTCACAGGGGCAGCCCTGCCTTGTTCCACAGGGCTGCCAGGAGTCTGCATCGACTCAGGGCAGTTTGGTTTTAGTTTAGTTTTTGCCCTGTGGGGGGCAGTGGTGGATTAGTGTGAAGTCTCGCCTTCCCTGCATGGGACTCAAAAAAAAAAGCAAACAGAGGGCTATCGAGTCGATGCTGACTCATAGCAACCCCATAAGGAGAGCCTGGTTCAATTCCTGGCCAGCATACCTCCTGCGCAGCTGCCACCCATCTGTCAGTGGAGGCTGGAGCGTGTTACTAAACTGCTGAACAAGTGGCAGCAAAGCTTCCAGACTGAGACAGACTAGCAAGAGAGGGCACGTCTTGCTACCTACTTCTGAAAAGCAATCGATGACAATTATGGTTCTGACCTGCAATCAATCATGGGAGTGATTCAGGGGTGGGCAACATTCCGTTCCTTTGTTCTTGGGGTCACCCTGAGTCTCAAGTCAACACAGCAACAGCTGATGGGAACCCCCCCAATTCTTACTTGGATAGAATTTACATTCTAACTGACAGGGGACACTGAAAGACTAATTCAGGCGCCCTCAAACTACGGCCCGCAGGCTCATGCGGCCGGCCGAGGACATTTATCCCGCCCGCCAGGTGTTTTTGCCCCGTTTGTTTTTTTACATCAAAATAAGATATGTGCAGTGTGCATAAGAATTTGTTCATAGTTTTTTGTTGTTTTTTTAACTATAGTCCGGCCCTCCAACAGGTCTGAGGGACAGTGAACTGGCCCCCTGTTTAAAAAGTCTGAGGACCCCTGGACTAATTACATAAAGGATTCTAGCATCGTCATTCCAGTAAGGACAGTGAAGATAAAGCACAAGCTGAGAGAGTGTCTGGTGCGGGTGTCCGCGGAAGGCATGTCTGATGGCCCAGTGACCTCACGGAGCTGGTCCAAGGGCCCGAGGTCTGACGAAGGGCGAAGGGGTGGCACTCAGAGAGCCAATGGGACAGTGACGTGGTCAGCAGGGACTAAACAGGGTGAATGGAGGGCTAAGAGCAGAGTGGAGGGAGACTCGAATATTTTGAAGTGCCAATGGAAAGGAGGCAGTGTCAGGGGAGGAAAGAAATTACAGATGGCACACGAGGTTGCTGACAGCCTACGAGCGCTCCGAGAGCCAGGCCGTATCCCGGAGCCATCTTGGAAGGCTGCTTCCATGGCAGCTGACCACAGCCAGGAGGCTCAGGTGCCGCTGGCAGACACGCTCTGGGTGGGAAGCGGGGGCAGCTAGGGGCAGCAGGGAGGGGGAATGGGGTTAAGTTCAGTGCTGGATGGTGAGGGAGTTCAGAATTTTTCCTTCTGGCAAGGAGAGGAGGAAGTCATCGACTTGAGTAAGGGAAGCTGTGTGGGGCTGATCTCTGAAAAAAGGAAGGAGACACATGGGGAAACACAAAGGACAATGTCTCGAGAAACAGGGTCGGATTGAGCGGTGTCGAGGACCAAGGTCAAGATGAACCTCAACTTAGGGTATCCCCAACTGCCTGCTGTGTGCCTTTCTCCCGGGACTGCCGGGCTGCCCACTCAGAGACGGTTGATGGGGCAAGAGTGTTGGTGGTGGTTCACCGCTGGATTGGAAGGACAGGGGAGACAGGGAGAGCCACTGGTCAGGGATGAAGCCCACAGGCTGTTTGGAGGTGCCACAAAGAGATCGCTGCGACCAGGTCCCCAGGGATCCCACTTGTCAAAGGCCCCACCTATGAAGGCTCCATCTTTGAAACCTGACACCCAGCACTTCCACGGGACAGCCACTGCTGGCCAGATGGCCCCTCCTTCCTGAGAGCTGACAAAGGGGACGAGTCCAAAGGGTGTCCGCACCCTCCCCCAGTCATCCTCTGTCTAACCAGGAGCCTGGTGGTCCCTGCTTGCGGTGGCCAGGTGTTGGGTGCAGCAGTCTGGAGCCTGTGGGTGGGAGGGCCAGCCCCTCCAGAGGGCTGGCTCTTTCAGCTGGAGTGTGGCTCCTGGGGAGACCACCGGGGACAGGACCCAGGGAAGTTCTCCGACACCTGAAGACTGCCTTTAGGCCCTCAGACTAATGGGGAAGTGCATGAGTTTAGAAACTGGCCCTCAGCTTTCCCATAAAAATGTCCTCTATCTGGAACCCTTGGGTCGAGCCATAGCCCTGGTGGTATAATGGGTAGGCATTGGGCTGCTAACCACAAGGTCAGCAGATTGAAACCACCAAGAGCTCAATGGGAGAAAGATGGAGCAATATGGGACTTTCTACTCCTTCCTAATGCTGCGACCCTTTCATACAGTTCCTCATGTGGTGGTGACCCTCAACCATAAAATTACTTTCATTGCTACTTCATCACTGTTATTTTGCTACTGTTATGAATCAGGCAACCCCTCGTTCGACCCCCAAAGGGGTTGCGAACTACAGGTTGAGAACCGCTGAATTACAGCCTCCGAAACTCATGGGCAGTTCTAACCAATCCTATTGGGTTGCCAGGAGTCCAAATTGGCTCAATGGCATGGAGAGTTTTTTTAGGGAGTGGGGTGGGGAGGACAAAGGTTAACAACCTCAGCTGCTGACTAAGAGGGTGGCGGCTGGAGTCCACATAGAGATGCCTCGGAGGAAGGGCCCGACAATCTACTTTGGACACGAATGCAGCCTTGTGAACCCTGGGGCGCCCAGTGCTCCTGGGACACAGCACGGAGCTGGTGCTCTGGGTCTACTCTCTCTCGCTCCACCTTCTGGGAAGTTTCTAAGTGCTGTAGCTGGTGAGGTGGGTAGTCACATGACTTCCTAAGTGGGTTATCTTGTTTGCTCAGTGCTTGCAGGGCTGTGAGATTTATCTGTGCGCTTCCTTCTCTCTGTTTGCCCAAAGGATCCTGTCTGCTGGCCCCCACCCCATGGAGGAGCTGGATGGAGCTCGACAGGGGTGAGGTTCTGCCTTGAGTTGAGGGCTGCATAGAGACAGTGCCTTCCTCGGCACGGAGCACCTATTTACATTTTAATTTTCCTTCTCCCAGGGCTCACTGTCGTCTTAGCACCAGAGACAGATGGAGCGGGTTTCTCTCTGCTTGCAGAGAAGATGAGGCAACAACTCAATCTCACCTTCCTGGCAATGCATCAGAGAGGCAAACGGCGGTCGTTTATAAAGCTGGGCGAGAACAAAAGGTTAACGGTATCATATTGGTTACCTGAAGTAAAATTCGCTATCTTCTTAAAGACTTTTATAGTGGATCCGTTTGATATCTGAAAGCAAAGATAAAACATAACGGGGTTAGAAACTGAAGGCATTTCCCAACTGCACCCAGGAATTAAATGGCTGGATGGATCAGACAATCCCTTACTACCGAATCAACTATTTATCGAGAACCACTATCCATCAGGCACTGTGCTGGTGGCTGGGCTAACACAAGCATACATTGTCTCTGCCTTCAAGGAGCTCATGGTAGAGGGAAAAGAGCAGCAGAACTCACCCGAGGGGAGGGAAGGGAAGCACTGAGAAGGCGGCCGCCCAGATATCACAGTTAAATGGCAGCCACAGGAACTACGTCCTCTTCAAACCTGAGATCAGGAGAACTAGATGGTGCCCCACTACTGATACTGACTATTCTGACGGGGGCAAGATTGAATGGACGAAAAACTCAAGTAGAACACAACATTAATGCCTTAAAAAGGCCAAACCTACTAGACTGCAAGAAACGAAACAACCAAGACTATCTCCTAAGAGGACCTTTGAACATGAAATTGAAACCATCTCTGTGAGCAAGTCACCCTTCAGCCAAGTAACAGATTCACTTACAAAATAAACAGTATCCCCTGTGACTAATGTGCTTCCTCAAACAACCAGTCAACATTTACCCAAAAACAAAGATGAAAAGGCAAGGAGGGGAAAGGAAGCTAGATTGATGGTATCAGAACAAACAGAGCAGAAACAATGAGAGCGCCAACATATTGCAAAAGTTGTAACCAATAGTACAGAACAACTTGCATGAAAATTGTTAAAGGGGAAGCTAATTTGCTGTGTAAGCTTTCACCTAAAATGCAATGAAATATTACAGAAGATAAATAAACTCACTATAGTATTTGGTGAAGAGAGTGATTAGGAGAAGCAGGGAGGTACTTCTAAGGGGCAGGTAATGCTGTGTTGAGTTGAGTGCTAGTTATTAGAACATATGCTCACTTTGTGATGATCCATCCAACTGTACACTTAGAACTTGTCCCCCCCAGGTGTATATCCGATTTCTTTAAAAAACTAACAAAAACAATGAAAATTGCACCTACCACTTATTTGTTTATTAGATCTATTTTTTAAAATTTCAGTGTGCCATTCCAGAACCATGCTTAAAGGAGATTGATAAGAAGTGAACCGCTCAGTGAAGGTGCACCCAGGTGTATATGTATCTGTGTAGCCACCTCCCCAGATCCAGAGAGACAACACAGGGGGGCCTCAGCAGCGCCCCCACCCCTGTGTTCTCCCAGTTAGGAACCACTCCACCTCATCTAGAGGTAACCCTTCTGATTTCCATCACCTCTGTTCTAGACTACCACACAAATGGAACTATACCAGTGTTGGACCCTTTCGGTCTGCTTCTCAGGGTCTTGGATGTACTATTCATGTATTAGGTAGGTTGCTGTGTTTCATGACTGGTTGGTGTTAGTCCACTGTATAAATATGCGACCCCCTACAATCACCATACAAGAGAAGGAACAAGAGTATTCATACATGCTCCAATGAGGTAGACTGACACTGGCTACAACAATGGGCTCAAACATAACAGCCCTTGCGAGGATGGTGCAGGCCTGGTGGAGTTTCATTTTGTTGCTCACAGGCTCACAGCGGTTCGGAACCAACTTGACGGCACCACGGCCATCACCGACCGCTTGGGAAAGGAAGACTGGGTAGTGCAAACAATGAAACTGCCAACGGAAAGGCTGGGTGTTTGAGTCCCTCCAGGGCCACCTGGAGGAGCCCGGATGGCACAGTGGGTTATGCATTGGGCTGTTAACCTCAAGGTTAACCAGCTGCTCTACTCCCGTGAAGAGTGACCATTTTGGAAACCCACAGGGACAGTTGTACCTCGTCCTCTAGGGTCACCGTGAGTCGGAACCATCAACTCCAGGGCAGTGACTTTGGCTTTGGTTTGGAGAAGCACCTTGAAAGAAAGGCCTGGTGATCTTCTTGGGGAGGTAGGTGGGGGTGGTGATTCATCCCCGAAACCCCTATGGAATCAGTTCTATCTGACACCCATAGTGTACACGAGTCAGAATCAAACAATTTGATGGCACCTGGTGAATATTTGGGAAAAAATTAAAAAAGAAAGGGACCTAAAATCTCTTCTTCTAACCTATTTCATGTTGATTATACAAAACTGCCTAAGAAGCACCAAAGGATTGAAGTCTAATTTCCTTCAGGGTGAACCCACAGAGGCAGGTCCCTAAACACAGTTGTCCTGCCAGCTGTGCCCATCAGCCACTGGCTCCAGCCAGGGACCTCCATCTTCGGGGGGAGGTGGGTCTGGACAGGGGCTGGCTGGGGCCATCAGCCTCTGCAAAGTGAGGATCCTTAACCCTTACTGGGCTACTTGGCAACGGCGCTGGGATTACCTACCCCATCCCCCACACCCCTTGAGCCACTCACAGCTTCCGGGCTGCCCTTTTGTCAGTTCCCTTCCACACGTGCTGCAAGGAAAGTGGGTGCCCAGTGCAGGCTCCCCCCTCGCAAAGGCTGCACTGCGTTGATGAGTGCATCTGAGCGTTGCTACAGGATTCCTCCCCAGGAGGGGCTGCTGATGCCCAGTGTCGACGCCAATAAGTATCTTTTTATAAAAGGAAGTTGGTGATTCATTCTGGGTAATTGTCAACAGGCGAATCCTAAACGGGTCCTGTGGAGTGTTGAGCCAATACTCCGCTACTGTCAGACGCTTTGTTTTGCCCAAAAAGCAAGCACCCCCCACTCTCTCATCACAACCTCCCCCCACCCCCCACCCCCAAGCCGGGCCTTCCACAGGCAGCGGTGCCAGAAGCTCACATGGCTTTTCAAGAGCTGGCAGCCACCCGGTGCTGGCACTGTGCTCGGGCATTAAGACAGCGTAGATGCAACTTGCACTAAGGAGATTTTACTCTCAAGTGATCTCCCGAGACAAGTGGAAAACATTTTATTAGTGGATGTGTTGTGTGTGTGGTGTGTGTGTGTGTGTGTGTGTGTGTGCACGCGTGTGACACAGTGCATTTCTAACTTCCACAGCTGCTCTGGGGTTGGTAAATGTCCCCACCCCATGTGACACTCTAACACCATTCTAAAAGCAGAAAACTAGTTTATTTACAGATGTTTGGAGAGGGGAAGGTTTCCGTTTTCTATTTATTTCCCCTGTGTCAGCTGCTGCAGGACTGAAGACAGAAAGGGCCGGAGAGTCCCAAGCATTAAAAGCCCCATGCTGTCTGTCTCCCGGGTGGGCCAGTGCTCTTCCGGGAGGGACTCATTAATCGTCCCACATTCCTGTGGCAGGGAGCATCCTATGGCCACTCCTGGAGGGGTGACAGGCAAATTAAATCAAAGAAAGATAAATGTCACTAGATGGGCTTGCAGTGGGCATGTGCCTGCCGCCGAGAGGGGAAATGCTACACAAGGCAGCTTCACAGGGAACCTTCCCAGCTTCTCTGGAAACATGGGATTCGGGAAGGTGGCAGGAGTGACAGGAGATCTGTTCAACATCAGAATGAGCAGTTGGGGCCATCCTGGGAGAAACAGACCAAACATCTGTAAAGCAAAGCCATTATTGAAATAAACAGGAACCCTGGTAGAGTATGTGGCTATGTGCCAGGCTGCGAACCAAAAAGTCAGTGGTTTGAAACCACCAGCCCTACCACAGGAGAAAGATGAGGGTTTCTACTCCCGTAAAGAGATACAGTCCCAGAAACCCACAGGGGCACTTCTACCCTGTTCGAGTCGGCATGGACTCGATGACAGGGAGCTTGGATTTGAGTTTGGACACACTCTGTACAAGGTGTCTTGGCGGCACTGTGGAGCAGGGCTGCTAACTGAAGTTCAGAGGTTCAAACCCACCAGCAGCTCCACAGGAGAAAGATGAGGCTGGTTGTTCCTGTCAGCGTTTGCATCTCCAAACCCGGGGGGAAGGTGGCTGTGGTCTCAGGGCTTCCATCAGCCTCCATCAGACGCGTAAGTCTGGCCTTTGTTATGGTTCTGAGTTTTGTCCAGGACTTCCTTGTGGAATCCTGATCTGAGCAACCAGTAGTGGAAGCCAAGCACCACCTCGAGTTTCTGCTCGTAAGCTAGTGGAGCCCGTGGCTCCTGGGCTTCATTCTCTGCTCCGGACTATTTACTGAAGTCTTTCATTTTCTTCGCCAGCCTTTGCGCCAGCCTCTCCTCGCGAGAAAGCCGGGGCTTCCTACTCCTTGAAGAGTTACAGTCTCAGAAACCCACCCAGGCAGCTCTACGCTGTCCTGGAGGGTCACAAGGCATCGGAATGGGCTCGGAGGCAGCAAGGGAGGGATATCTTTTGCTCTGGACAAAGCTGCTTTTGAACTTGGCAGACTCCAGTCACTCCTCACCCACGCAGGCTGTCAGACACGGTGTTCCTGGGCAGTGTTACGTTAGCTGTCCCCCAAGGAGATTTCTGTATAGTAAAATGCTACCTTTAGGACATAGATGGGAGATAATTCCATAAAAATAGATCGTCTGAAATAGAAGCTGAAACCATATGAAACTGCCATTTTGGGTAGGTGGAAAAAAAAGGGTCAAGCATTGGCTCAACTTAAGAGAAAAACTGGAGTGTTAATCTAAGAATTTTATGGAATGTACAAGTGTGCTTAATACAATTGAATGATGGATTGTCATAAGATTGGTAAGAGCCCCCCAATAAAATGATTAATTTAAAAAAAAGAGAATTTGATGGACAATCATCCTGCCTGAACCATGGTGATACTTTTTTCTTATTAAAACCAAACAAACAAAATGCAGCTATCACCAGAAAGTACAATAATCTGTACAAATCACTCCCCCAACACACGTACTAGTATCCCATTCCTGAAACCTGCCTTCCTGTTTCACGTGGAAACAGAATTCTCGTTAGCTTAGCCTCACCCCAGCAGCTAGCGATCAACACTGCTCCTCTCACCACAGCACCTACGGGACCACCCCCTACCCTCACCCCCGACACACACACACACACACACACACACACACACACACACACACACACACACACACACACCCCACCTCACCCCCGATGCTCCAAGGCTAGAAGCAGACGAAAACACGGAAGAATCTTTTTCTCAGGGCCAGAGGCATGACCTTACTCCGTCCTTCAGTGCAGGAGGCTCAGGCGCATCCAAGCGTCTGGACGGGCCTGATAGAATGTTCCCAACAGACTCGTCAAAGCAGGCACTTGCGATCCCTGACACTCACGGCTCGGCTCTAAAACCAAACAAAAATCCAAATTCGCTGCCTTCGAGTCTAAGGTGGACTCAGAGTGACCCTCGGGGATGAGGAGAGCTGCCCCTGTGGGTTTTGACACTGTAAATCTTTACAGGAGTAGGGAGCCCGTCTTTGAATGGCTGACCTGAGGGCTCCCTTGGCTCTGAGCTCTAAAGGACTCCTGAAACCAGAGACATGCTCCCAGGGCTCCAGTGTCCCTCCTGTTTAGTTGGAATTTAGCCCCACTTTCCCCCCACCCCCACCCCAGGGGACAATTAGAGGTAGTGCCGAGAGCACTCCACGGCTGTGGTTCTCAATCT